TTTTTCCAGCCATTTATGCCCCTTGAAGCCAAAAAAAAAAAAGGAAGGCAAAATCATGCAAAACAACATCAGCACGCCCCGACATCAAAAAAAAAAAAAAAAGCGAGAAGAGGGAAAAAGCAACAGCCCCAGAAACAAGACACACCACCTTCGACACTTCCTTGAATTTTCAGGCCCCGTAAAACAACAAAAAAGAAAGAAAAAAAAAAAAAAAAGAAAAACTGTCAATTGTTGTTGCTTTCGTTGCTTCGCTTTACTTCTCCATAGCCCTCCTTTTTTTTTTTTTTTTTTTTTTTTGGGCGTCAATATATATATATATATATACTTTTCTTTTTCTTTTTATATATTCTTTTGTATTTTTTTTCCTACGAAAATTTCACAGCGGGAATCCCGCTGCGCTCCTTGTACGGCACAAATGGCCTATTGGGGAAAAATCGCTTGTCGTTCTTCGCCATGGATTCGAGGAGAGGACAAGGCGCAAACCGATCGTCCCTCAATACATCCTGCAGCTGACGGAGCCGGTCCACAATCACCGACAAGCCTCGGTGGTCTGCGTATTGCAGGAGGCCGCCCCGAAATGGCGGAAATCCTGTCCCCCAAATCATTCCAATGTCCACATCCTCTGGTGTTGCGGCGACCTGTTCTTGAAGAATATAGCAGGCTTCGTTTACCATTAATAGGACACAACGGTCCACAATTTCATTTGCGTCCTTATTGCGTAAACTTTCTGGAAAGAAATGTTTCTTTGTTTCAGCGTTCATTCCTACTTCTTTGCCTTTATTATCATATTTGTAGAATCCTTTGCTGTTCTTCTTGCCAAGGTATCTATCCTTTACCATCCGCTGAACATCAGAGGCCACAGCAAAACGTTTAGACTTGATACCGTCGGTTAGAATTGGTCCCACATGACATGCAACATCCAGTCCAACTTCATCCAAAAGTCGAAATGGTCCCATTGGCATGCCAAAATCAAGTATGGCCTTATCAATCCGAGCCAGGTCAACCTTGTCGTCCACGGCAAGACGACCTGCTTCAGCCATGTAGACACCAAGAATTCGATTGACTACAAAACCTGGTGCATCCTGCACAATAATGGGTTTCTTTCCGGTCCGTAAAGCCAAATTGAAAATAATGGCAGCCGCTTCTTTAGAGGTTTTTTTCCCTTTAATCACCTCCACCAATGGCATTTTAGACACAGGGTTAAAAAAGTGCATTCCCACAATGTTCTCCGGGTACTTGGATACCGTCTGCATCTCAGTTAAACTGAGCGAAGAAGTATTAGTGGCAAATAAGTTCTTACCGTTGATAATTCCTTCCTTTTCCAAATCCCGAATAATATTTTTTTTAATATCCATCACCTCCACTGCGGCCTCCACAATTACATCCATTCCTTGAAAGATACTGCTTGAAGTCCCACCTTTAACGGTTCTCATTCTTTCCTGCATGATGGCGGGTGTTATTTTCTTTCGTTTTATTGCCTTTTCAAACTCCCCACGTACCATTTCAATACCTTTATCCACGGCTTCTTGTTTTACATCCTTCACCGCAACAGGTATGCCCTTATTAGCAAAGTGGTGCACAATTCCAGATCCCATGACACCTGCACCAATTACACCAACAGTTCGCACAGGAGGTACTTTATCTTTTGGAATTCCCGTTTTGCGTTCACTCTTTTTCATACCTTCATCAAGAAAGTAAAGGGCCATCTGATTTTTAGCCTCAGGTGTCACCAAAAGTTCACTGAATGCCTCACGTTCCCTGGCAAAACCCTCCGCATTGGAATGGGTAGCGGAATATAAAACAGCCTCCAATGCTTTGTACTGTGCAATGTATTTCCCTTTTGTTTTTAAATTCAAAGATTCAATTGTCTTTTTACCAATTATCCTTCGTCCAATCGAGGTACGCTGCAGAAGACAATCCATAAGTGAGAGGTTTTTGCCCCGTGACGGCTTTAGCGGTTTATCCACCAAACCACCAACCCATCGCCGTACTTGATTAAAGAAGCGATCCTCCCCATTCCAACGGTCTTCCGCTGGAATCACCACATTCACTGCACCCGCCTTCTTTGCCTTGTGTGCCTTCGCAGCTGCACTTGTCATGATCCACTCCACCGCCGTCATTAACCCAGTAAGACGCTGCAGACGTACGGTGCCACCTGCGCCAGGAAGCACACCCAGTAAGCACTCCGGCAATCCCACCGACCCATCGGAAGCCAGCAATCGATGATGACAAGCCAGTGCTAATTCAAATCCACCACCCAGGGCAAGACCATTAATGGCCGCCACAACTGGAAAGGGCTCCTTCTCAATACGGTCAAAAAGTTCGTGACCCATACGGGTTGCCTCCGCCGCCATCTTTTTTTCTGTAAGTGGGTATAATTGATCCAAGTCCGCACCCACACAAAAATTAGACTTGGCACTTGCTATAAT